TATCGCATCACTGAGACATGGACTGAACTGATGACGTGATGCAGAGGGTTCTTTCTCTTATTTTGCTCTATGTGCACGATAGTGCAGTCATTCTTCCTTTCACAAGTATCTATGCGTGAAATTTTTACCATATAAAGAACTGCTAGTTCACACTCGCACTGTGTACTATGTGCTAGAACAGCACGTTAAGAGTGTCAATAAAATGCAGGTTTAGCTATTGGTCCTTTATGCATGAATCTAATTTGTGCTACATGAAATTTCCAGTAATGGGAGGCTAAGTATTTATCTTATAAACAAGTTCTCTAACACGAACTGTTGCTGCGGTCAAGAAACAGAACCAATACCAGCATGCTGGACTATCATGCTTTTTAATTAATATCCCACTCTCTACTACAGAATTTGAAACTAATAACCTGGTGATTGTATAGGGAGACTTAAAGGGGCCCTGCAACACTTTTTCAGCATGGTCAAAAAATGATGCCGATCGGTTGCAGAGGCTCCCAACAACACGAGAGCCAAATATTATAGCGCAGCACACGGCCTGGAATTCACAATCAATTATCAAAGTCAGCTACAAATTGCTTTGTCTTCTCTCGACAAATCACAGAATATGCCCAAAAAGAACAGGCAGCAAGCCTATCTATCAGCGATTGACTGATTTGAACATGGGACGCACGCTCGTTACAGAGATCGCCGCGGGAGGCCGCTACTTGTCCACGTGCGCGCTCGCGATCACACTTAAAAAGTTGGCATTTTAAGAAAAAACAAAAAAAGCTCAAGGTCACGAGGCACGCATGACATTTTTCTGTGGCCCTGCCATCCCTCCCTACTTAGCTTTCAGCGCTTTCGTCGGGACGAGAGAAAAGAGAATGCAATTGCAGCATGCGACAAAACTTTGTAACTCCACTCAAACTGGACGTATTCTTAAAATTTTAGCCTCGTTGAATTTGTGAGGCAATAAGATTTTCCCGTGATTTCTTTCCACGGTTAATTGAAAAAGTGTTTCAAGGCCCCTTTAATCAGGTACCCTTGTATGAACTTCTACAGAAGTGTATAGGTATTAGCACAAATAACACTACATTATTATTGTTTTTTTTCCTTGCAAAACAAGCAAACTATAACAAAATGGCTTCATGAAGTGCTACTTTCTACAATAAATGGAATCTGTAAAATAACAAAATGCCATCAAAAAACTTGCAGTTGCATTAAGTATTACTGTTCTCTAGCTTGGACCACAAAGGTTAGAGCCCATATTACTACACTTAACAGTGGATAGCTGTCAGGTTCCACAAAGATTAGAGCCCATATTACTACACTTAGCAGTGCATAGCTGTCAGGTTCAAGGATTCTGGATCTAGGAGATTTCAGCCATGGAGGGTGCAGGGGATATGCCCCCCTTCCACTACCATTTGGTTTTCCAAAAAAAAAAAAATCGCAAGAAAAAAAAAGGGGGGATAGCAGTATCTTGAAAACAGCCCCTTAAATATTGGCAATGCACAATCTTATTATCCCTTATAAACAATGTAGGAGGGGTGTTCCAACTACAGCAGAATCTCGTTGATACATACAAATCTGGAGCAGGATCAAAAATATTCTTTGTATAATGAAAAAAAAAAAAAACTAGCAAAATTATTTTCCAAATCACAATATATACAGAAGACATTCCTCTAGATCAAAAGAACTTGCGTACATTTTTTCTGGGATACACACAACCAACTAAAAAGTGTAGTCATAAGCAAAGATCAACATGAACACTGAACACTTCATGCCTTTTTTACACCTTTTACAGTTTTATTACAACTCTTAAGACTTATTTTACACCTATATACCGCTGTGTTAGCCGCATACCTTAGGAGCTCATAGTCGCTATCAATGATCACGTTGCAACGACAATGGTTTCGCTCGCGAAAGTTGCAGCAAATGGTAGTTCTGTTCTTAATTCAAGTGTGTTGGCACGGCATGTACTCTGAAATAAGTAACCTGTTGCTATTTATCACAGCATGTGCCGTGGCTTAGCCAGCAGCATTAGCAAAATAGAGCGTCGCTTTGAACGTGTGTGTACTTCAAGAGTTACGTCAGTTCTACCATTGCCATACATGATCGTGTCAAGAGTGACAGCAGTTTCGTTGGCCAAGCGTCCATCAGAAACTTCCAGCACTTGTTCTTGGCTTTCGCTTGACTAATTTGGTACCGAAGTTCCTATCACCCGGCGCGACGTGCCAATGTGTTCAGAACATGCAAACTTTGGCCCAGTGGACACTGAAAATTCAAAAATTCTTATCAGCGAGATTCTACTGTATGTTTGCACCAATGCTTCTTAATTCATTTAAATTGCGATAAATGCGATAGGCCAAAAGTTGTGCAGAAAGCCTTGATTGGGTTGGGTTGAACAATGCGGCCAGATCATGCACATAAATTTCGATTTCCATAAGACTTTCCTGCCAACCCTACAAAAAAAAAAAAAAAACAGAATCCTAAAATCTTTCAGATAATTTCAGACATTTGGCAGGTATAACAATGCAATCTAGCAGTTTGGTCACGTAGTACCAAGAAGGTTACGCTGAATGGGCCAGTCTAAATTGCCTAACAGGGTTGCATCTAGCAAATACTTGAACAACAAAGCACTCACCAAGATACTCCGATATGACATCAAATTAGTGGTAACTTAACCCTTTGGGGCCCACTGTCAGGCCACTATCAACAACTCAACTGCAGTCGCTTGTGAACGTACAAAGCTCAACAAGCAGTTTCATATCCGATTCCTATGTGCGTTTTCCCATTGCATTATGCGTCATCCCTAAACAAGAACTAAATAATAAACTTCTTTGACTTGAGTTTTGATTTCTCCAGTTTCACACCAGAAGGGACAAAAAGTGGGTAAAGGTGTTCCGCCCCCTTTTTTTCCAAAAAAAAAAGACAGCCAGAACAACAACACATGGTCAGCACAAATCATGCGATTTTTACAAAAATGTAGCGGGATCAGTGATGCTACTGGTTTAGGCTGCTTTGGAACAGCTTTTGGAGCAGACAAAAACGCATTTTGGAGCAGTAAAACTGGCTTTCGGAGCAGATATTACTAGAGACAATTTAAGGATTGTGTCGAGCCAACGCCTCCTGAAAAAATTATGCCTGGAACGTGAGCCGCGAACGCGCTGCTTTGCCCTCCGATATTACCCTCCTCCTTCGCTACGGAGGCGAGCGTCTCCGACGGCTGCCCTCAGCGAACACAGCACTGCTCTCACAGTTGCCTCCGGGGACCCGTAATGTCACGTGTAGGAGCAGTACGGTAATGCCACGTGACTGAGCAGTACGGAGGGGAGCGATCTCACACTGCGGCCGGTCGAAACAGGCGACAGGAGGCATGGCCTCCGAGATTACGTGCTAGCAGGAGGCTCCCAATTGCAAAGAGGGCGACGTTCCACGCATAGTTTTTCTAGGAGGCGTTGGTCGAGCTGATGTTTTGACAAGCGACAAGACAGCCAAGACAGAGAATTTAGCATCTCCTCCATTGATGATGAAGACAGCTTGGAAATGAACACCATGAGTGCTTGCCTTATTCAGTACAGTCGGCATCCAATTTCTCGGATGCCCGAATTTCCAGACATGCCTGATTTCCCAGACTCATCTGTGGCACCGTCAAGTTCCCCATAGAGACAATGTATTAAAAAGACAAACTCCTAACGTTTATCACGTTTGCCATCAGATTTTCCGGGGTTTTTTTACCGCTAACTGCAGACATTAAGTCACTATCAGCGCCGATATTTTGGTTGTTTTTTTTTCGAACCCTTGAACTCACTGCGCTGCGGCTGCCGTACCCTCGAAACCAAAAATTCTGCAATCCAGTGCACGCTAATCCGTTGCCAGCCATAGCTAAGGCCGCATGGTGCTGTGCAGTCTGTGGTCAGACAGTGGGAAAAGCTACGCTGTTGACCTATGGTCTGCCGTCGGCATGCTTGCAGACTCGTGGAAGGAAGTTATGCAATAGACTCTCCAGAACTGCTTTCGCCATAGGAGCTTTATACTGGACGCCGACACGGCCATCTTGCCCATAGTGGATAGCGTGTATGACGAACTTCCCCTCCCGAACGTTGCCTTCAACGATCTGCTCATTGCCGGTGTTTCGATTCCAGGTGAGTTAACCCTTGAGGGCTTCACCGACACTGACGAAGACCTCAAGCTGTGTGTGGAACAGACCGATGACGAAATCATACGTCAAGTTATGGAGGATTCGGACAACTCCGATACTGAGATTGAAGAGGCAGCACCTAAACAGCCAACGAGTTTGGAATTGGCGCAAGCACTGACACTGTCATCAATGCACAGCGACAGCCCGTGCAAAGCGGCTTCTTTTTTTGGCGCCTAAGTGATTACACATGGGGTATCGCCGGCCCGCATTAGATTTTTTTTTTCTTTCGGCTCTTTCCAGCGCCACGTAAATGATGCATTTGCAGAATCGCAATAAGAACCCTGTACTCCTGTCTCGAGCCTCTCCATCAGTACTGTATCTCCACGCAGTACTGTATCTTCCACGCAGTACTGTATCTTACCCAGTGAAATAGCTGGAGGACACTTAGCCTACACAAATGAAGAAAGATGTGATGTCTGCAACTGTTTTATTTATAAAGTTTATATTTTCCATTAGCAGCAGGTAGCTGGTTTTCTATGTATGGTTTAGAAGTAAACTTTATCGAGTTGATCTGGCTAAGTATGTGGTACAAACATTTTTTCGACATCGACTAGCTATTTTTAGCACAAACAAATTTGAAATCGGCGAAAAATAAATAGGCACATTTAGTACAGAAACTTTGAAAAAAAATTGAGCACTAAAGGGATAAAGCAGCTCTTAATTCTCCTGTTTAATCACGCCACAAGAAAGCACTGAAAAATTACAAACTCCTGAAGCTCCCGAAGGGTGTTACAACTTTATAATGGAATCATTTCTTTATCTAACCAATTAACTCAATGGCTACCCATGAAAGCAGTGGTTGAAGCATACTCACATTACGGCTTTTCTTGATAGCTTCGATTAGCTTTTCAAAGTTGGCCTTGTCTTTGTCAGCCTGAAAAAAGTTCCAAATCGACCAACCTTACCATTACTGTGAGCATCGCTGTTGATTTTAAGCTAAAACAAACACAAAACAAAGAAAACATTTTCATTCAATGCATTTCAAGCTAACAAACCACTATGAACTGTGGCTGTCATTCATGAGAACAAGCTTGACACACAAGTATATAAACTTAATTCAGTAAGCAGGAGAGTAGACATTCCAGTGCAATTCACTGCAGTTTGAGCACACAAACTAGAATTAACATAAATTCACTGTTGATTTTCAAGCAAAGCTATAACAAGTACTCCTTTGTGACCGACCTCTTGTCCCCAATGTTAGAATGGCTCCGTCATTTCCTTACAAAAATTTCTTCAAACACACCAGTCGTTTCAAACACTGCCTGACACTTGTAAAAAAAACAATAATAATAAATCTGTCACAAAGGCCATTTAGGTAGACCTCAGTATAACTATACCTAATACTGGTGGCAACAGAATTGCATGTTATTTTTCACATGAGTCTACACAATTGTGAACAACATGCCATGGTGGTAAAAAAATTTAACAATCCACCTGAGGTACGAAAGTTGTAGAAACAGTGGTGGTCAGAAGTCAGAAAGAGTCCCGATTATCAAAAGGTCTTGGCATTTTGCAAGGTACTTGAGAACTTGTTTTTATTGAGAACTTCTGTGTGCGCTTTCTTCCTTAATGCTTAATCTGTCACTTCAAGAATAACTGACGATGAATCCAAGCATGCACTCAAAGAAACAGGTACCATTAAGTTGATATCCGCACTGGAAAAGCTTTCAACTGTCCACCAAAAGTAGTGTTCATAACACAGAGGGGGGGGGGGGGGGGGATAAGGCAATTTCTTGAATATTTACATAGTTATCTGCTAGCAACAAGCATTCCAGGAAAGGTTTGAAGTTCTTGCCAAAACACCCAACACGTCCAAAGTCTCATTAAACATGGTTACTACTGCTTTCACCGAACCCGCCACAGTGACCTAATAGGTAAAGTGCTCAACTGCTCTCCCGCAGGTTGTGAGATCGAATTCCAGCCGTGGAAGCCCATTTTCAATGAGTGCTAAAATGCTTGAGGCCTGTGTACCTAGATTTGGGTGCACACTAAAGAACTTCAGATGGTCGAAATTTCCGAAATGCTCCATTGCGACGTCTCTTATAATCATATCACGGTTTTGGTACATTAAACCTCGAACAATTATTACTGCTTCACCAAAGCAACCATGAGTTGTAAAATACTTCAAACAGAGGTGTCATAGAGAAACCTTAGTTAACAGGAATGCTTCATTTACTATTTATTATCTCAAGTGTTTACTGTCTCTTCCTTGACAAGAGTGCATATTATCTCAAGTGTTTACTGTCTCTTCCTTGACAAGAGTGCATAAAAATGGCAAAAGTATGTTGCGTCTCCAAACGAGGACTCTGTATTGCAAAAAGGTGTAAAGGGCAATTAAAATTACAAGGAAAGCCAGTTCAAAGCCAAGTTGCTATGGCTCAATGAAGATAATGAGAATAGTTGTGCACTGCATCTTGTAAACATAACACAATATTGCTGATGACACATGATCAGTTCATATAAACTTTTCGATCACTTGTGCCGTGTGGAAATGGCCCCATGTCATGACCAAACACAAAATTGAGCTGCTCTCTCGCTATGACGTGTCACAACAATAATGTTTTTAAAATTAATTTTAAATGAGATATAGATTGTATATACAGTACATGCTTGAGAGAGCTACAGATATGACATGAGGAGACATCCAAAACCAAAGGTATCAATGGCAAAATTGGCACACCATGAAGTTGAACTCAAGAAAAGCTCAACTACAATGGTCTTAGTTTGCACTCGGCTAGGGCCATACAACTGAAATTTTTCATGTGTAAATCATAACATGCCCTTCAATTCCAGATGGCTTCCGAAAGATAAACAATGTAGCTTGGCACCCACAAGCACTGAACCAAATTCAACTACGTGGGAAGATTTATATATAACTTACCTTATCCCGAACAAGAAGGGTTATAGGTGGTGCTTGAGCCTCATTCTCTTTGCCAGACTCCAACTGCTTGAGAAACTCAACTTTTTTCTTGCTGGCCAGAAAGCATATGGCAGACTCGCAAAGCACCATGATGGTGTCAGTCAGCTCATACCCAAACAGCCATGTCTGAGATATGGAAAACATTGTGTGAGATTTCGCAGCATTTGTTCAACTCCCACATTGTAAATATCACCACTTTCTGCTAGAGGTATGTTGCCACACTTTTGAATATACCTTTAGATTTTGATCGTAAACTGAATGATTTGTGTGTGCCTAAAGAAGGGCTGTTTGAAATGACACTTAAAGAACATCAGTTATTAAACATTATTCAATTACAGAAATGACCCAAAATATGTCCATCACAGGAAAAGTGATAACTACTGTTCCTGAGAAATTAAACATTCTTGAAAATGGCTTGGCAGAAATGTAGCAGTACCTTGAAGCTGTGCTATAAAACAAAAATCTTAGCAATGTCGTCAATATTAAGTATAGTGCGGCTAAAAACTCTCAATATTGTGTAATTTAACATCGTTACATTTCAGTCAATACCTTATAACGTCAAAACTTATTATCGCTTGGTTTCAATTTTCCTAGTTCATTGCATAGATTTATGTTCCAGAAAGAAGCATGGCAAGTTTCATACAAAATGTTGCATCATAAGTCATGGCTTTCGTAAAAAAAAAAAAAAACTAAGAATGATGTTCTTAGAAAAACAAGGAAGGAGTTTTTCAACATGTTAAAGGGAACCAGCACTGGAATTTCCACGACCACCCTGGCAGTGAGAGTGCATACTTCTCAGCTGATCCCGCAGACTAAAGTGGCGGCTGGTAGAGGCAGTGCGAGCGCGCATCGCCGTAACAAAACCAAAGGATACTGGCGGTACTGCTGAGTGTTCAAGTACAACAATATATAAAAAATGGGAGGAAGTATATAGGAAAGGGAGGACGTAGAAAGAGGAGGCGGTGTTGAATCCAAGCGATCAGGTGAGCAAAATTCTGGTCTCGCTCTCCTGACAGGCTCATTTCTAAACCGAATGGAGCTTATCTGCTATATTTATTCGATAGTGAAGACAGCCACAAGTAGAAACCAGGGCCAAACAAAACAGTCGAGCTTGAACGGTGTTTTATACAACATTAGGCATATAGATGAACTTTTTTTCTTATCTGGCCCACTGAGCGTAGAGTCGTGCCCTTCAGGACTAACAAAGTTTCTAAGTGTCCATCCATCTGACCACCACCACCACACCAAACTCCATTTGATGCCACCACCTGAAGTGAATGATACGATAGGCAGGCAGTCTTTTTTTTTTCTTTAAACAGTTGCATGTAAACGAAAGCTGCCTTGTCCACAAAATTTGTGCGGGGCCACGTTCACCTACGCCTCTGAGCTGTTATAAAAGATACTCTCGCGGTGAAAACTCGACGCCGAGATGCCTAGTCTTAACTTAATTTCTGAAAAAGAAAGGGTTCTTGCTACAAACAAAGCAGCGGACTACTAGATGCTTAGCTTTCTGAAGTCAGCCGACGCGGTAAACGTTTTTCTCACTAGCGGCCGTGGCTAATTAACATAGGAATTTATGCCTAGCTATAGAAGTATCAAATGTCTTCTATTTTTACTTGTTTCGCTCGACTAACACACAGTTTCAGTTTTCCCGCTTGCCTGTGTTGGCCTAAAATGAAGATGCCTGTTCAACATTCATAATTGCTAGGCTTTCATGTGCCAAACGAGATATCATTTTGAGATACGCTGTAGTGTGCATATCAAGATTGTGACCGCTTGGAGTGATTCAATGCGCACATATATCTTGGTTCACGTGTGTTCCTTTTAAATTTCACACCCATCGAAGTGCAGCCGCCGTGGTCGCTAATCTATTGGGCGCCCTCAAGAATAGCAGCACGACACCATGCATACTATGCTGCCACGGTGGTTTGTTTGATCAACGTCCCCGTGCATACATACGGCGGACAGGGCGTACAAACAATGTCAGAAAAAAAATTGATGCAGCTACCACTTACTCAGACCTGCCAAGCACTGGGACACAGAATTAGGAAGACCCTGCCCGGGGGGAGGGGGCTTTTTATTTTTTTGAACAAAAAAAGCGCACCTTTTGGAAGGACAGGGTCTCCAGGCTTTTCAACTGAACTACCTCTGCATTAGGCAGAGCAGGGTCTGTCAGGGAAAACTTGTGTCGCATGTAGTCGCACACTGTCACAAAGTAGTGCCGAACTGCCTCGAAGAGTTCCTGTTGTTTCTTGGGCTTTAGCTTGTCTTATTTTTGAACAAAGGTGGTGGTCGCCGACTTAGCCCTCCTCAAGAAGGCTTCCGTGTAGGTCTGGTTGTAGCAATTTCCAGCCTGGTCACACTTCGCAAGGAGAACATGTCCGAGAGTTTTGTCGGAGATGGACGACCGAAATTCAGTTCTTGTTTTCCTCACAAGGCTGAAGAGAAGCTCACACTCGGCATTGCTGTGTGGAATTGACAAAATTCCAAGCATCACCTCAGCAATTCGGCTTCAACCTTCCATCTGCAGTTCTCAGCTGTGACACCATTCTCCACTGGGCATCCACTCCTTCTTGTAGAATATGGGGAGGAAGATCCTGAGCCTGCAACTTGGAACACTCTACCTCCAGTGCGTTGACCGCTTCCATTTTCGACTCTCCCGGTTGGAGAGGTAGCATCGCTGAAAAAGAGTCCACAAAAAAGCGAACCTTTCGGAAGGACATGGTGTCCAGGGTTTTTCAGCTGAACTACCTCTGCATTAAGCAGAGCAGGGTCTGTCGGGGGAAACTTGTGTCGCATGTAGTCGCACACTAAAACAAAGTAGTGCTGAACCGCCTCGAAGAACTCCTGTTCCTCACTGGGCTTTAGCTTGTCTACCACAGTCCTAGTTTCCTGTCCAATGATGAGGTCCTCGTCCCCTTTCTGTGCCTCCCTGCTATGGTAGTCCAAGTTGAGCAGCTCTGGGCTTCGTTTCAGCCACGATGGGTTTACAAATCTTGAGAAAATGCCTCGAAGAAGTTCCAAGAGAAGCGGCCGTAGCACGTGGATCTGGGGAGCTTGTGCTTGCAAGGAGAGGTTCGCTTTCTCGAAAATGGGAATAATATTCTGCAAGAAGAGACAATATGCTCGGTTGGTTTCCAGGCTGAGGAAAACAAAAAGCCGTTCTTCACGTGTTGGGCAGTGCTGGTCAGTCTTCTGTGTGCAGGAAACCTTGGCTTACTTCGCTGGCACTGAAGGAGCCTGTGTCAAGTTCTTTCTTTTCGTTTTGCACTGATCAGGCTTTTCTGCTAGAGCTGTTGCTTGCTTTGCTGCTGCCTTTGGGATCTGGTATCAGTCCAGAAAGCTGGGACTCTTTTTGCCCTTCACTTCGTGCAAGAAGAAGCTCAACAGAGGCTTCCACTGATCCAGGAGCCTGGTCAAGCATTTCCCAAGAGATAGCCATAGAGTTGAGACATGTTTCAAGATTTTTCTGAAGTCTGCATCATGAATTTCCTCAAACTGCCTCAAGGCCTCCTTCCTCTTAGCACTCTTTTCCAGGTAATAAAATATATCGACAAGAACTTCGTCCACTTTTGCTGGAAGGCACACTGCTCCCTTCTCAGCTGCCAAGTTTATTAAGTGGCATGCACACCTGATTTTAATCAAATTTTCTTGGACTTCCGTCAGCACCGCTGCCACGCCATTTTTTTTACCAAGCATCACGTTGGCGTTGTCGGAACAAAACGCTGCACAGTTCATGACCGGTATATGAAACGACGCGAGAGCCTCCAGAATTAAGTTGCCTATGTTGCGACCACTTGCTTGTCCCGTCAACGTACACAAAGAAAGTAGTCGACTCTCAACTAAGCCAGACTCCCCCACGTATGCCACCACGATGGGGTACAACTGCGAGTGGCTATCATTACTGCCGTCGATGGCAACCGAGAAAACTTTTTGCTTCAAGGAACTCACTATGCGCTCCTGAGTATGGTTTGCCATCTCGCCAACAATTGCACTTGTCTTGGTTCTCGCACAGCCGTACCGCTTTGCGACATCCGAAGTAGGGAACATCTTTCGTAGCAGGGGAATTACGTGGTCAGAGACTGTCAATGGAAGGTTATGTTCCAGCAGAAACCCAGTGAAGAGACATTCTGCTCGGATCACGTCACTATCAGAGTTCCGCTTTGAAAAAAACTGTCCCAGCTGCTGCTGCTTTTCTTGGCATTGCACGTGACTTACGTGTTTCTTGGATGAATTGTGAGCGACAACTTCGGTTTTGCCTCCGTGAGAAACGCTGATGTCGCAGCCACATACCGCGCACAACGCAAAATGCTTGCCGTTCCTTGATTCCACGATGCAGGGGAATTCGGATGTGTACTGCTTCAAAAACACCTGTAAGTACTGTTTTCGCTCCCGCTCTTTACTAAGAGCCATGGCTGACAGCAAACCAAGACATCAACACCACTGCTCCGAAGCACGCCAACTCAACCGCTAACAAAGCACAACATGGCGAACGTCGCAAGCTCGATCAACTGAGTGATGGCAATGGCAGTTGGTTTGGATTAGTCTCACCAAAGTTGCCAGACCAACAGTAAATTTTCTGCTAAAAACGGCTAAAAATTTTCGCAACTACGTTTTTGCACGCTTTCCGGAAGATTTTTGCGTCAACCGTACAACCGTACAAAGCGGTCAAAATTCGTACATTGTACGGGTAATCCGGAAGACTTGGTAGGTCTGCAAGTTACTCTGCTTTGGTTTTTCTTGAGCTTTACTGCAGATGTTTGCAGCGTGGTATCGTCACAGCATGGACTTATCAATGGGGGCATGTCAGCCAGCACTAGCATTAGCCCAGAACCCAGCACGCAACCAGAAAATGAGAACGAGGGAGCTGCCATTACGGCACAGTACTGTCCCTTCGATACTATATGCATAGACGCAGTCAGCATTGCAGGGCTTCTCTCAGTTTTGTTCGTGCTTTTTATACGAGAGAAGCCTTTGGACAAAGTTATTCTTCTAAATCACAGTGCAGTATTACTGGCGCAATGGCTGTTCGTTTCAAAATGAAGCAGGGCAGCGGCGTGCGCGCGTGCTCCCAGAGTGGTACACTGCGGCTGGTCGTCTCCACGCGAGCAGCTGAGCTGTGTTGC